CAAGAAATTGCACTACGGGAATCACTTATAATAGTAGCTCTTTAAACCCATATAAAATAATGTGTTTGATACCTCGGATGATAACCTCCAGCTCTCGCACATTTATATGTGTAGATGGTTTACCGGAGTTAGTAACATCACTAGTAGGAGCAAGCCACGAACCATCAGCGATGACCGAATCTGCTTGATCGGTGAGAACGACTGCCTCCGCCAGTTCGCTTGCATCTACCCAACATTTGATCTTCTCTTCACGATCAGGTAAGAGCCACCGACCGGAAGCAGGATCACCATGTTGCCGAATAGCACGACATAAATTCTTGATGTCGTCTCGTACATCTTCAGATATAGGTCGTGACCAAGCTGATCGATCCTTACCACATGAGTGGTTCAGGAGACGACGACCAAAAGCAACACAGACACGTAAGTACCCAGCACTAGGTACATGTGCGACAAATTCGCCAAGCCATGAAGCAACCTCTCGTGCGGGTAATGTCGGTGACTCACTAACACGGGACTCAATAGATTCAACAAGAGCTTCTAGTGGACGACGCCGCTTCCAACGTAGAACACCATTACTATCTAGGTAAATTGCCAACCCCAAAAGTTCAGATCCTATCAAATCCACAGGCTCTTTTGTTCGTAAGCCGTTCTGAGATAGGACGTCTCGTACAGCAGTCACCACCTTCTTGAAATCTTCAACCGACTGAGTATTTAAGCGAGTCACCAAAATATCATCGAAGTATCGGAGAGTAGAAGGGTAGTTTTGGAGAATAAAATCTAATACATTTTTCAGTAATCGCGGAGCACAAGACGCTCCGAACCCTAAGCGGACAAGCCTATAACAACGGCCCTTATACTTCAAGCACTGGTACCAACTGAGGTCATCACGGATCCTCAATGACGGGTATGCTCGCCGAACGTCGAGTACTTGGGCTTGGGGATAATGGTGCCAGCGTCGTAGCTCTCGCCCACAGTCGGAGCGAGAGGATCGCTAGCTTGA